TTTACAAAACATGCCTTGAATGGTGGCAGATTCTTATTTCAGATTGGAAAAATTTGTGACTGTACACATTTTAGACCAGTAATTGGTTGCTGACTTCTGTGGGGTCAAAAACAACGGGCTCTTGATTTCATAATACTTGAAATGCGATTGAGCTAGTGCAGCTATGCTCAGTTCAATTATTGGTTTTCGTTATTTGAGCAATGTTCCTGTTTGTTAGTCATGTTATGAACGTTTTTCTATATCCGCTTTGCATATTAATGCATAATTTTACTAAAGCTGCAACTGACGAAGTCCTATGCAATACGTTCTGTTAATCTCGAGCGATAGTTGTCTCCGTCCATACAGTGTTGAAACATTACCAAATTTTTTTGTGTACCACGTTTCATCCAGTTCTTTATTAATAGTTCGCATACGCATCGTTTTCTTCTATCTTACATGCGAACCCTTCAACTAAATAACATCTCGCAGTATATTCAAAAAGTTTAAGTTTGGTGAACAGTTCTGATCATCATTCGGCGGTATGATTCTTTTATCACCCAGGCTTTTTACGACGCTTTGATTGCATTGTGTTGGATCGAAAATCCCAAGCATCCCATTACTTTAGAAACGGTTCTGCGGTCATGAAGTTTTGGAACTACTGCTATGCTGAGAAGTCATTGAATGGGTCAAAGGTGACAATGTCCTGCAGTATTGTTGAAAGAAAGGCGAAATATGTCGCCAAAACTTTCAGTCAGTGCACAATAGAACGCTATGGGGCTTGAACACTTACACCACACTGACTACTGCAAACTAGAGTTATACCAGTATTGCAAGGAAATATTTAAGAAAATTTTGTGAATCGTGAAAAATATTCCACAGCAAGGTTTTCCACTCAAATGTTGATATGAACGTGACAAAGCATGCCAATTTTGCTCTAACGGCTCAATGAATCAGAAGGCTGACTGGTGAAAGTTTGAAGCTTGGTTCTAGAGAGATGGTAGCAAGCAAATTATGAACGTGATTGTGATTAAAACAACAAATTTTCATAGAATAATAAACAGTAGAAAATGTCGAATAAAGATAGTCGTTAAACAGTGGTATAAAAGTTGACCTTCCGGAAAAGCAACACTTTCACGACGCGCGCTTTCTCCATGTACAAACAATATAATTGCGCGCCTTATGTCTCTAGTAGCATATTGAGAACCATTTACTGAAATCACAGCTATACGGCATTATATATCTAAAGTGTATGAATGCAAATTCGCCTTGTCTGTTGGGTCCAACAACTTACTTGAAGCACCGAAACTTTAAATGTAGATATACAATACACTACGAAAAATTGGATCATTTGAAAGTTAATTTTAACTACAATTGATGATAATCAGTGTCTATAAGAGTTGCATGTCCCAAAGTCGAGAATATATTGCAGACCCAAAGATTGGTTGATATGCGAGAACGGCAGAATGAAAATTCTAGATTCTTCGGTTCCAAAAATGCAACTTCTGCCGTGAACACGGCAACTACCGTATCCCGAAAAGGATGGTGTTTTCTAAAACTCACACATTACGAGGAGATTAAATCGCATGCACGTTCTTGTTAATTCCTAGCAGTCACTGGTCATTTTCATGCTTGAACGTACATAGAGTAACGAAATTTCTTGTTTTTCAGCTGAAACTTTTCAGGAGAATTAACCTAGCCCTCGACTACTTGCGGTAAACTATATGATCTTTAAGTTCCGAGTAAATGACGTTCTTCTGCTAGAGACATCCTGGAGATTTAAAATTAATTTGATTATACAAGAGCATACAAAAAATAAAAGTATTGCCTGATTTCAAATCCACCATTTAATCAAGAACGCACTTTAACAACAGTGCCACAGCAAATCTATAATGGAGCTACAACGAGGAACGAAACAACATGAAAGAAAGGAAACAACATTGAATGCA